TTAAAAAAAATAAATAAAAGTGGTGATAGAGTTGCACCCAAAGGCTGTTCCATAAGAGTTACTTTAAGCAGCTAACACCCAGAGATTTCAGAACAAGTCAGCAACCTAAAAAACTTCTGAGGATCTGGACCTTTGTGAACCGAGTTTTGTTTCTTTATTATAGTACATTTACTATATTATGTTGTACCCCCTATGACAGACACTGCATAACTGATCAGAGAGAAGAAACTGGAGGATTTTAAAAGTTTTGTGGCAAATTCTCATTTTTCCATTTTTGTCCCAGAGCTGTAACTTCACCTCTGACACGCTCTGCCCAGAATCATCAGTCACAAACCTGCTCTACTTTTTTTCACTGGTCACAAATGGTACAGGCATGGGAAGGGAGACTCCTCACTCTGGAACAGCAAGCTACAGAATACCATGGAGTCCTACAGGTCATGGCAAGATCCAGAGTATTTTTCAACACATTACATGAGCCTCTGCATCCCTGTGGAGTTCCTGGTTGCAGGCAGACCTTGGATACTGCTAGTCATTTTATATTTTGATTGCTTCAATAATATTTCATGTCCTGTGTTTTTTAGGTAGCTAATGCTTAGCATTAAGGTTGAAACAAAACCAGCGAACATTTATTTAAGCCTACAGAAAATCCACTAGAGTGAAAATGTATCAAGCATTACGGTTACTTTGGAAGAAGAGACTAAAATAAGGTGGCTGAGGGTGCAAAGAGAGGATAGCCAGGAGGAACAGCAAGACCAAACAGGCAGTTGATTGCAAGATATGGGTTGACTTGGGTTCTCAGCTCACATTGCACAGCACATGCTCAGATTATGTTAACTTTTCTCAGCTACAAAGATCCTGGCATGAATACTTAATGAAGGCACAGGCTTGGATATCGTTAAGATGACAGCCTTTTAAAGGCAGTGCAGACTGTTCAGCAAATTCATGGCTCTTTGAGCTTGCATTTTATTTATTCCATACCAAACTACTCCCAGCAATAAAAATGGCGGTGAAAACTGAGTATTTTAAGTAATAGCAGCTTCCAGAAACAGACCAAGCAAATCCTATTCAAGGAACACAGGAGTTACTCAACTGGAAAATGCTGCATTATTTTTATTATTTAATACAAATGCAGTTACTCATTATAGATTTTGTAGCTTTCTGGCCAGAGTAAGCAGCTAGAGGTAGTAGCAAAAAATATATAGTTTTAGTTTGTCTCACAAATGGCCACTTGCTCAAACTTTCTCCATTCTGGGGAAAAGCAATAAATACTCTATTTGCTTTGGTTAACCAACACATTAATACAACCCAAAGAACTGACAACTTCAAGAACCCTCCCTGCTGATGTAGAGAGGAGTTTCAACCCAAATTTCAAGACTTTCACAGTTTTGAAACCACTGAATCAGTAGCCCAGAGTTATCTGAAAGTCACTTCTGAAGCTCAGCATTGCAAGTAGTGTGACACAGCACATGTGAAACCCTTTTATCCAAGGCTCATGTCAAGAGCCTCCTGATTACATTGCACTGCACTCCATAAGCATCCCACAGAGAACCAGAAGCAGATGATAGCACCACAGCTGCCCTGAAAACTCACTTACCATTCGAGGAAGCGTACAGCGCTTTGAGAAAATATCCACTGATTTTGAGGGTTACCAGTTGATTCCGTTCACAGTGTAACACTTCGACATTGTTAAAAACTGTTGCATCCAGCTCCCCAAGTTTGTTGTCTCTGAGATCCAACTGGGTCACGTGATGCAGAAAATCTGTTTCATTGGACTCCAATCTCCTAATTGAATTCAATCTTGCAGACAAAAAAAGGAGATTAAGTGTAGTTTACGTGGCAGGCTCCTGCTGACAAACCAATGCTCACTCTACAATCGCTTGCACTGGATTAAACTAGCATGCCTACAGGTTCTCATCAAGGTTGATTTTAAGTATTTTCCCCTTTGTTATGGTATTTTAAAAGCAGGATGGATGAGCTCTGTTGTTTTATCCATGGTGACAAAGGAGTGATGACACCAAGTTCCTTTCTAAACTACTTTGAAAACTACTGATAAAAAGCTCTGCAAGAACGTAAATATTACTGTTATTGTGTCTATAAAAATAAAAGATGATCTGGCTGTTATTTGCACCTGATAGTTTGGAAAAGAACAAAACCTCTGCAGTGTCTTCTGGCCTATCACAAGCACCTGCTGGAAAAGCCTGGCAGATACGAGTAACCTGCGGATATTAGAGTCTCTTGCTTTACTGAAAGACTAAATTGAGATTTATGAATTCCCATATTTGCTTCTTGCTTTACCATATTCCACAGCAAGCAAATTCAGAGGCTTGAAAATGGGTGTTGAAAGAAAACAAAGCAAAAACCCAAGACAAGTGGGTCTGTCAGATAAAGAGAACAGGTTTTATCACATCTTCACCGCAGCACATTGACGCTGCCAACACTCAGCAACTTCCCTAGACATTACAACTGAAATAAGACTATCTATAACCCAGCAATGGTTGAGGTGGCAGAGCTTTCCAAAGAGTTGAGTTTCACATTCTCAGCTCTGAACAGAATGCCAAAATCGGTACAGTAACTTCTGCCAGCCCACTGAGCCTCCCTAGTGACGATAAGGGCGTATACCTGCGGTTCTGTTGTTACTCTTCCTTTCTAAGAGTTGCTCTCTGGGTAACAGTTGTGTTTTCAGAGTAGCTACACTTTCCAATTAAAAGAAAATAGGTAATATGTCCCCTCCAATACTACAACCTACTTTTTCTGTTTTCAGTTTTCAAGCAGTGCTTCCTTCTGATTTCACCGAAGCAAAACACCTCACTGTGCAGCAAGTACAGTTTACAAACACATTCGACATTTACTGTTCCAGGTGTGTTACAATGAACCACTGGTCACTGTTCGGTGTAGAAAGGATGCAGCAGACAATGAGAGGGGCTGGAATTGCACTGCTGGAACTCATGGCCAGATCAGAGAGATCCCTACACTAAGACCAGTTTATGTATTTGCTTTTAACATACGTACAAAACATATTTTAACCCCATCTTATATACTTCAAAATTAATCCACTATTTTAGCTGTTTTCTTAACTTATGCTGACCCTTCCTTGTTTGCAAAGTCTGACAGCTACACTGCAGTACAGTACACTAAGTTTTAGCTTGAAGAGCTTAATTTAACTAAATGTTCCTAAAATTCATTGTTGTTTGGACCTCATGGTCCAGGCTCTGAACTGAAGCTTGCTCAGCTTATTGCAGAAGCTGGCTTCCCAAAAGACTCCAAGAATAAAGAACCCCCTCATACCAGAGCCATTTGTTTAGACTCTGCTGAGGGCATTAATAATGTTACTCACAGTAGACTACTAGGCTTTTTAACATACCAAGAAATATTAAAATATCTATTTTTGTCCTCTCACCTTCACTGCCCTTTTCTTCATTACATGCATCTAGCATTTCAGACAGGAGCTTTCTGAGTCAGGGACTACTGTTTATATTATATTAACACTGTGCCAACTAGAACTGCAGGAGTCACCAGTGTCTCGGGGTCTGTTTTGTTTGCTTTTTTTTGTACAAATATTAATTTCTCCCACTCATTTTCCTGACTACTGATCCCCTTAAATGCTACCTCTTCCCCAAAGAAGAGTGCTAAGTCACAGTAAGCGTTGTCAGTTATGTAATACTGTCAGAAACATGGTTCAATGGACTAGCACAACAGATTCACACCTGGGTGCTATTCTGACAGCCAAAGAGAAACCATTTCAACACGAATAATTCAGATCCACTTGTTTTTCCCCTTTTTCAAATACCTACCTTAGATCTATATGTTTAACATGAGGCATCCTTTTTAACACCTGTAGGTTCAGGGTATCCATGCAGTTTCCTGACATACAGAGCTTATCCATAGCAGTCAGCTTCTCCAGCACCCCTGGAATGTTGGTGAACTCGTTGAAGGACAGACTCACGTAGCTGAGTTGATGCATATGCTCCAATTCGTCAGGAAGGGACTGGAGAAAGTTGCCATCCAGCAAAAATGTCTGCAAGCTATTAAAGGTGGGGAGGGGAAGGGAGAGTGAAGGAAGCAAGCGACCTGTTAAATCACATTTCCTTCCCATAAACACACTAATCTGCTGCCATTGCAGCAAAATAAAATATACAAAAAGGCAGAAGAAAGAAAAATGTTAAGGAATAATGTTTTAATATCTGCTACAGAAGATATCGACCAAATAATTAAAAGCCTTGGCAACTCTGAAAGGCAGGCTGTTCTGAACCGTTGTATCACATCTCAAAACATCTCCAGAACTGTGATTTGTGTGATGGCTGAAGTACATAAGCAAGGGAGTTTAAAGATTATCTTCACCATGAAGGTGACCCTTGTGTCAAATGCTGGGGACTGTAACAACTTCAAAACACAAAGTGTGCTTCCTCTCCACCTGCAGCTCACAACATACAGATCTACAAGCCAGTCTGCTCTGACAAAACCCAGTAGGTGTAAACTGGATTATGTAAAGAGTCATGAAACTGCTTGTCATCTATATCATCAGTCTGTGTACGTTAAGTTTTAAGAAAGTACTTGCTTGTGCATCTCGCCTACAACTGCTGGAACACTTCTGAGGGCATTGCAGGACACGTTGAGTTCAGTCAGGGTTGGGATACTGCAGACTGCCAGTGGGAAGTCTCCTAAATTATTATTGGAAAGGTTAAGGCTCTTCAACTTGGTGAATCTACAATGAAGAAAAAAAAAAAAAAAGAGAGAAACAATGAAGTAGAGCATAAACCACACCAAGGTGCCTTGCAATAATTAATACAAGGTAAGTTTGGTTATTTAAATGCAAATCACATTAATTTTTAGTTTACATACTCAGAACAAGCAAGGAAACTACTAGACACTCAAGTTCAACACCACTTGCAAGAGTTCACTCATATTAAGCTGACATGACAGAAACAGGTCCTCCTGAACAACATGCTAAATATATTTTCCTACGAGTGTAACAAAGAACAAAACCCTTGGTATCCTTACAATATGTATCGTTTCTTCTGTGGCACCTCATCCTAAAGCACTGCTATTTTTCTGAACACATTTCTTGCTAGTAAGACTTCCTGACACTGGTTACAAGGCAGAGGAAATTCTCAGGCTATTTGAACACTAAATTTTTGTGGTGCAGCTCAGCTCTGTTCGTGCAAGTAGATACTGCCTTTCAACCAAAACTTCTCATTAGAATACGTTGGTTTGAATAGAACTGGGAAATGTGCTGAATTAAAGCAGAATTTAGCAAGACTTCTGTAGTGAGAGATGCAAATTCTTATGCTCCCAATTAAGTACAATGTCAAAGCTCACATAGATTTCAAAATTTTGTCCTTGATATATCACAAAACTCTTAAAAGCCCCATGGTTCATCACAGTCAACAAAGCAACTTGCATGTGCTTGCCTTATTAAAGATGACCAAAACCATACGAACAAAAAACCCAAGAAGGGGACAATCCAATTAGCCCGTCTGCATGCTCAGCAACATTATTATGGTTGCCTAACAACAGCACTAGGAGGTATGTCTAAAGGCAAGTAAAAGGATGAATGAAAAAACTGTGTTAGATTCTGATAAGTGGGAGGAAGTTTCTCTTATGGCAAGGTTTATGCCAGGACTTTACACCAAGTAAACATGATTTAGTTATTTGGACTTCATTTTCCGTTCTTAAGGCTCAGGTCCTTTATTTGTGTGAGCAGGCTTTTCTGTAACACAGTGATGGAAGCAAAACTGCACCTGTGAACACTGCTATTCCACATGAGAGTAACCTCTGACAGCAGTGTCAGTGCATCCACAGCCCCCACATTCCTACCTCAAAGCACTTAGTCCTCCCCCGACCAGAGCACACAGACAAAAAAATACATCAAATATTAAAAGGTTAAAGAGCTTTAACACCAAAAGACTCTTAAAAATCCTTACCAGCTACTGCAATCAACTGGCACACACCTTTAGTATTCCCTAAATCAAACTCATGTCATCAACTAAAACTCAACATGAAAATGTAAGTAGCACCTTCGTATCAATATTTCAATGGGGGTTCTAAGTGGAGAGTGGATTTTACCCCAAAAGACAGGCTGTAAACACATTTAAGTTTACACAGGCTTGCAGCAAGCAAGGGAATGCTCTCTTGGTATTTTGGTGCAAAGATGACAGAAGAAAAAAAATGAAAAAATCATGGCCAGAGTTATCACAGATTCTGAACACCCTGTGCCCTGCTGGAGGCAGAAGTTTGGAACAGAGTTAGATGGAGACTAAATGAAATCTTGCAATCAAATTACTGCTGCAGGGAAAAAAATGCTACTGTGCAGAAACAATGACTAATGTAAGTCTAGAGGGAGAACCGTAAAATAAAAGGAAGGCTAGGGTAAGCTAGCTGATACTAATAAGGGCTGCTAGCCAGAAAAATGCCCATTTTAAACATTGTATCTTCCTACTACTTTAAGAGAAAGGGCTTAAAAATCTTGAACCCAGAACTGAAAGCCACAATCCTGCATTTATCTTGAAGGTGACTGTAGATTTTGGCCACAGATATACTGCTGTGAAATTTGGGGTGATTCTGTGGTGGAATAATTGTCCCACATCTTCCTCAAAGTCAACTGCAAATACAAACAAGAGTGCTCTAAGTAGCGGACTCCGAAGCCTTTAGAAATTACTTCCCCCATGCCAGTATTTAGGTAAGTGCAAAAATAGTAGTGAAGACAAGAAGGTTAAGTCAAAATAACTAAGCTGCTGGAGAAACATCAAAATGGGACCATTCCAATTTTCAAGTCAACCATGAAAAAAGAATTTACTCATTGAATAATCAATACCAAGGCTATAGCCTCTACCTGCGCTGCTCTGGAGCCTCTGAAGAACAGTCTCAGGGCTTTTGCCCACCAAACAAGCAAAAACCACAATCTACTAGAAGACCCCAAATACAAACTTAAGATAAAATTACAGAAGATCAGGCTAATACACAGAGGAAAGAGGACTGGGGCAATGGACAGGGGGGAGGTGGTGGTGAAAGAAGTTAAGAAATACGTTAAGTATCCCCAATGCAGTGTTCAGCTTCAAGGTTTTCTGCACACATTCTTGTGTGTAACTGTCCTGGGTCAAGGGGGGGGAAGAAAAGAAAAGAAAAAAATCACCACCCCCCTCAATGTATCTGATACAACGTATCTCTACTACTCTTATTTATGTTTTAATGTGTGTTTATTAAGGGCCTTCTGTGAATAATCTAATTACTAAGGACACAAACTGAACTGGTTAACAGGGCTATATAATATGCAAGGGAAGATGACTAGTACATCCAGTACTGGATTTACTCATAGAGAAGCTGAAAATGCAGGTACAAGTGCATGTCAAATAATTCACAAAGGAGAGTTCATTGTTAAATCACGTTTAAAGAACAGCTAAAAGACAGACACCGTAAGCTTAGTTAAAGAGATTAATTTAAGGCAATTGGCAGGAAAGATATTTTCTTGCTCCTTTGTAAATGTGTTCATTTACAAAACGCTAAAGCTGCATTTCTTCTCATGCAGCACTGTCAAGTATAGAATATTACAAAGCCCAACTAGCAGGAATTTGCTCAAAGGTAAGAACTCAGTCTTCTCATCCTTGGCCACTCACTTCCCACTATCCACATCGTAAATGGGCTGATGCACTTCCATTATGGAGCACTGCCATGCTGCATATTTAAAATGCTGAATTGTTTACAGTGTTTCTCATATCTAGATAGATTTACAGTCAGTAGCACCAGTACCACTTGTAGCATCAATATAAAAAAGGAAAGAAGTATTTTACAGACTCAAGTTTGCTGCTGCTGCTGAGTTTGCACGGGCTTTAAATATATTATATGGAGCAACATCTTTGCTGTTTTCTCACACCCAAATCTTTACTCTTATCAAAAGCAGGGGCACACATCGATACTGTCCCCACCACATTGCTAGAAAGAAGAAAAGGCACAACATTGCTCATTTGAGGCATGACAGCATAATAATGTTATATCAAGTCCATACATATGTTTTCCTTCCTCTTCTCCCTCCTTCCCTGGTTCTAGACTTTGTTATCTGTTTAATAAAGTCAACCTGAAGAACAGCATCTCTCAATACACTATGTTCAGTTAGCTTACTAAGCTTTCTACTGTAATGACCAATATATAAACACCCATTTCTCTGACCAAAAATAGTCCTACTTTAAGTTAGAGCAAAATGTTGACGTGTCAACCCTTGGGTTTAAACATGCAATATGAATGAACGCTAATTGCCATAATTGAGCCAAAAAATGCCCACTTAATCCTGAAGCTGCCACTTCAGGAGCAGTTTTAGTTTGACATACACAAAATGAGGAGAGGGGCTAACAAGAGAAGTTTGTATCACGGCAAATCAATGAACTGACACGCTAATTTCAAATTCAGATATGCACAGCAGAGGAATTTCCATTACACAGTACAGCATTTGTGTTTCACTATGTTTGGAGGGGGAGGAGTAGTATATTCAAACTGGCCATACCCCGTCATTGAAATGCAGCCGTAACAGACTTGTCTGACAAAACCAGTCTTGCCCTACTCTTACCAAAAGCAATTAAAAAGCAGTATTTTACTACACCCAAACCAGAAGACATGGCTTAATAAGGGACTCAGTTTAAGGAAAACAAACCCTTTCCCAATACTATCTCCAAAGTTTCAGCTGTGTGATGCTGCAGTTGCAGTTGAACATCATTTCAAGCAGCAGCACAACTGTCCCTCAGCTTCAGCACCATTTCTGAGCAGATTGATGGCATTTGCCTAACAGCACTGTGGCAAGTGCTGGAACAAGTTGCCACCTTCACGAATCCTTGCTACTTTGGCTGCTAACTTAATAATGAAGAGAATTTCCATATAATCTTGACTCAGCAATTTCATCCTTGGAAATACAAGGTCCAATTTACTGCCTTTTTACAGTTGTGTCAGATTCCCCATCCATAGCCTTGTTGCCTCAGGGAGCAGCTAGCCTAGCACCAGAAATACTGTCATAGCATTTCCCTTCCCAGAAGGGTGTCGTTGTAAAAGACTTAAATTAGTTAGACAATTAAAATGAATTATTCCAGCCCTCTTGCTCTGCTAAATTTGTCGAGACAGCTGAATAGAGGTAGATTGTTTCTGCAACAGCTGGGGAGATCCACTTGAATGTTGCAGGTGAAGGCTTTCCCTAACTGAGGTCAACAGCAGTCCTTCTCCAGCTTGGGCACAGAAGAGTTTCCAATAAATAATATAGAGAGGAGGAAGGATGGGCTCTGCTGGTGTCTTCCACCCTGTTTCTCTCGACAAGACTCCTGTTCATCCAGAAACCAAGTAACTTCAGATAGAGTAAAATTATCTCAGGAAATAGGGTCACCTAGTTTGAGGGGAAAGATTGATTCTGGTCAAGTCAGAAGAAACTTGAACAAATTTACCCATTAATTATCAGTTTGTCCATTAGCTGAATGACTAAATGAAAACAGAGTTTCATCTGAATTTTTATTTCCCTCCTCCTTTCTTAAACCCCAGGAGGGAAAAAGAAAAAGAAATAAAAAAGCTGAATGTTAGCTACAATTTTGGTATCTTCACTACCCTTTATGCTAACACACCAGGAACAGTCATCCTGATATTTCTCCCCTCTACTCGCATTTAAAACTATAAAATGCACAACAATTCTGGCATACAGGCTTGAGTCAATATACAAAAAATTAACTGGTAGATTGT